GATAGGTCTCCGATATGGTAGTCCAAAATGTCATACCGTAACAAGGGTCGATCTCAAGTCCCCTTCGGCAAACTGAAACCGTTGCCGATTCCTCGGGCACCACGCCTCTCCATTGCTATGGACGTGACAGGCCCGTTTCCCCGTGATCGCCACGGCCATGACGGTATTCTCACGGTCGTTGACCGTTTGAGCAAGTATGCTCGCTTCCTTCCTCGCAAGTATCATGCTGCAACGCCTGAGCTCGCACGACTCTTGCACACCAGTTGGATTACCAACCAAGGGGTTCCGGAAGACATAGTGAGCGACTGAGATACTCGTTTTATGTCAGCCTTTTGGACTTCCCTCATGGCTGAGTCCAGTACGACAATGAAACCGAGCTCGGCTCGGCACCCGCAGACGGATGGTCAGACGGACCGATCGCACCAGACGGCTCAGATGATGTTGCGTACGCTCATCCGTCCCGACCAGAAAGATTGGGTTGACCGGCTTCCCGACATCGAGTTCGCCTACAACACTTTGGTGCACCCGGCGATCTGCGTCACACCATTCGAGCTACATCATGGTGGAGAGAAAGCACGGATCTTCGCTGATTTCCTTTTGCCACAGGCTGCCGACATAGACGTCCTTTGCCCTCCCGCTTCCATCCGGAAGTACCGGGACTTGCTGATCAAAGTCCGCGCAAATATGCAAAAGGCTCAGATCCGCATGCAGCAGCAAGCTAACCGGCGTCGACTTCAATGTCCTTTCCGCGAGGGAGACCTTGTTTGGGTCCCCTCCAAGGAATTTGCGCTCGAGCAGGACGTTTCGCGCAAACTCCTTCCGAAATGGTTCGGACCATGGGAAGTCACTTCTGCCGTTGGAGACGACCCCGCAGGTCCTTCCTTCGTGATCAACATTCCACCGCACCTGACAGTGTATCGGGTCTTCCACGCATCGAAGCTGGCCATCTACACGCCACCTTCAAATGACGAGTTTCCCGGACGTCGATCACAGGATCCGCCCTCCATGGACGGACATCAGGAAGTGGACCGAGTCCTCGCGCACCGCAAGTATGGCAACAAGCCAAGGCAGTACAAAGTCACATTCAAACAATGTGCGCCGGATGACACTTGGTGGATCTCCAGTTTAGACTTGCAGACTTTTGCACCCCTCATCTTCGCCGACTATGAGAAGCGACGCCTTGCTAAGGACGCAGCTCGTCCTGCCCGACCCACCCCGGTATCGGACAGACAACTTCGCCCTCGCAGGTAGCTCGGTCTTTTAAGAGGGGGAGTGTGTTACATCTTCGACGCCACACGGGTCCTACCAGACCCGACTTAGGGCTAGAGGGACACACCAGGGCCTAAAGGCCCGACCTTGGGGTACTACAGGCCATAAAGGCCTCACCTTGGACCAGACCCGACGGGCAGGCCCAAACGACATTACCGTTTGGGCCTGCGGCGCTCTTGAGGCTGCCGCCCGCCAGTTGGGGCTGAACCGTCCAGTGAGGCCGACCTCTGCCCACCGGTATAAAGAACCGGTCCGGCCTCACTTCGAGGCATCGAACCACCGACACTCTACCGGTGCGTTATGGTCAGCGCCAGAGCGCTGTTTTGATGCGCAAAGTTTAGCGCAGGAATAAGCAAGGAGCAGCAGCGGCAGCGCAGCATTAGCGCAGCGGCAAGCGGAGCAGCAGCAGGGCAACTGAGCCAGCACAGCGGCCATTGCCGCCTGAGGTACCTAGGAGCGGAGGACCTCTCCTCCCTCCCTCGTCAGCTCTCTCTCTCTCTCTCTCTCCTCCTCCTCCTCCTTCTTCTTCTTCTTCTTCTTCTTCTTCTTCTTCTTCTTCTTTTTCAGACTAGAGACTTATAGTAGTTGGACAGAGATCACAGTTGGACTTCGGTGATATGAGACTGTGGTACTTACCTGATTGGAGACTGGGAGATTGTTGAGGTTGATACTCGGCTGCATCACAGTTGGACACCGGTTACATCTAGACTCTGTATCTCCAACATTGGTGACCTATGGGCCTCGACATTTTGATAGTGGCTCGCCGGCGGGTGATCCGATGAGAGCTCCTCGTACAGTGTAGAGTAAGTCGGATCGGACTTGTAGCCTTTGACGAAATGCAGCTGCAGATCGTCATCGAGGTCGAACGTCGTGGTCACAATGGCGCAAAAGTCGGGCCGTCGTGAGAGGGCGTCCGCAGCTCGATTGGCAGAACCGGGAATGTGGCACGGGTCAAAATCGAACTGGTCGATGTAATACATCCATCGACCGATTGTGCTAGTAACCGTGTCTTGCGTTTTGTAAAAGGTCAACGGATTGTTGTTCGTATTCCATTTAAAACGCCGTCGGCCGATAAGAGAGTGGCGAAACCGTTTGAGAACGGTGACGAACGCGAGTAGCTCTTTCTTCCTAGCGTCGTCGAGAGTGTTGACGAGAGGCAGCTTTTGGGAGAAATACTCAACATGCCAACTGTCCTCGTGACATTGTTCCAACACCGCACCAATACCGTATCCCGAAGCGTCCGTAGTCACTTGGGTGGGTAGGGTGGGGTCGTATATACGGAGGGCAGGTGCGGCTTGCATCGCTGCCTTCAACGTACTGAACGCGCCACGGGCTGCGTCGTCGAACTCGAAGGGCACCTTCGGGGACTGAAGTCTCGACAAAGGAGCGGACACTTTCGAGTACGGTTCGATGAATCGCTGATAATATCTAGCCAAACCCATGAAAGAGCGTACATCCGTCGTGCAACGGGGTTCCGGCCAATCCACGATGGCTTGGATCTTGTCCGCTAAGGGACGAATGCCTTTCGGCGTGACAAAATGGCCCAAGTACTCAAGCTCTTGCCTGGCGAATTCGCACTTGTCGAGATTCGCTTTGTACTTGGCTAGTCGCAAACGATTCAAAACAAYGCGAAGGTGTACGATGTGCTCGTCCAACGTCCTACTATAAACCAAGATATCATCAAGGTAGATGAGGACGCTGCGATCGATCAAGTCGCGAAACTCAGTCGTCATCGCTGCTTGAAACGTTGCGGGGGCATTGGTGAGTCCAAATGGCATGACGACCCACTCAAAATGCCCGTACCGCGTCTTCAACGAGGTCTTGTACCGGTCTTGAGGCTGGATTTCAATCTGGTGGTAACTTGACTTCAAATCCAACTTCGAGAAGTACGTCGCGCCGCCTAACCGCTCTAGCAGATCATCAATCCGAGGGAGAGGGCCGGTGTTCTTTACGGTTTGTGCATTAAGTTTCCGATTGTCGATGCTTAACCATAGATCTTTGTTCCTCTTCCGGACGAAGAGAACAAGTGCACCGTATGGCGAGCAACTAGGGCAAATCCAACCCTTGTCGAGAAGATCATCGAGTTGTGCGCGAAGCACCTCGAGTTTCTCTTCGCTCATGCGGTAGATACATCCACGCGGAGGGACGGCGCCAGCCTCGAGAGTGATCCCATGACGTATGGGCCGATCCGGAACCGTTCCGGTGGGAGCCTCGAAGACGTCTCTATACTCATCCAAGAGGTGAGAAATGCGTGGGTCGAGCGGTGACGCGGCTGGTCCGTCCGGCGAAGGGAGAGCATGCAAGAATACAAGGCCCATCTCCTCGACGTCATTCCGAGCAATGGCGTCGCGAATCCGCGCAACGGAAACCACGTGACAAGCAATCGAAGTGTGAGGGGTCGCGACCGTACATGGGGCTAACACTCCGTTCCGATCACGGATGTGAACGGTTCGGTCATGGAAGTTCACCGGATGATCGGCGCTACGCAACCAAGACATGCCTAGAATCATGTCGAACTTGGTGTCGAGGATGTCAAAAGACACCGGCTCGCACGCAAGTGGCGCAAAGTAGACCGGAACGCCGTCAACGCATCGGTGAATTGACTTTTGCGTGCGGCGGTCTGCGAGTGTAACTTGCGTAGGTTGCGTCTTCCTTCGAACGCGCGAGCCAAGACCTGCGCGGGCCATAAAGGCTTGACTCATGAAGTTGCGAGACGCTCCGCAATCAATCAAGGCACTACAGGTTGCCTTTCCGATTTGAATGCGGATATAGAGCAAAGGTGTGTCGGTTTCGGCCTACCTTTGGGTGGCGTACTCGTGGTCGATCTTCGCAAGATAGGAGCGGAGATCGGAAACCGCTACCTCGTCGTCCGTCAACGGAGCTGGTACTGTAGTGTGCAAGTAGAAGCGTAGATTTGTCATCAAGGCGTTGCAATGCGGCCTTGGCAATGTTCCGGTCGAGGGTAGTGGTATCCAAGCGAAATCCTCTCTCGTGAGCAGGTCAAGCTCCTCAAGTCTTGACCACGCCGTCGAGTCCTCGGAAAGCAATGGCAAACTGGCCGGATCATTTGCCGACGGTGTACAGGCTCCGCATACGCAATCTACATGCACGTGGCTAGGCTGGTCTAATGGTGGTACCAGCTGGGCGGCATAATCCTCGTACGTAGCACGAGAATCAGCGACTAACGCATG